GGGAAAGATTAGTCCAAAGAACTAATGGACCACAACTAACACTACCTTCATAAGACTGAGCCCAGAACAACTAGATGGTACCTGGCTACCACCACCAACTACTCTGACAGGGATCAAAATAGAGTGTCCTGGTCAGAGCAGGAAAAAAATGGAGAACAAAACTCAAATTCACACACAAAAAAGGACCAGACTTGTTGGTCTGACAGAGACTGGAGAAACCCCAAGAGTATGGCCCTGGGACACCCTTTTAACTCAGTACTGAAGTCACTCCCGAGGTTCACCCTTCAGCCAAAGATTAGACAGGTCTACAGGGCAAACAATAACACATGTGAGGAAAGTGTTTCATAGTTCAATTATGTATATGAGACTAAATGGGCACACCAATCCAAAAGCAAAAACTAGAAGGCATGAAGGAACAGGAAAACTGGACGAATGGAAACCGGGAACCCAGGGTGGAGAAAGGGAGAGTGTTGACACATCACAGGGTTGTCAACCAACATCACAAAACAATTTGTGTATTAATTGTTTAATGAAAAACTAACCTGCTCCGTAAACTTTCACCTAAAGCACAATAAAAAAAAAAAATCTTTGTAATAATTTACTCTTACTTGTTAGTCAGAGATAATGTGTTGCTTCCCTACAGCTGGCTGCCTTCTCAGCTCCATGACTCCCAGCTTGGAGTCATGGAATGAGAGGTATCTTAGTCATCAGTGCTGCTATAACAGAAATACCACAAGTGGATGGCTTCAACAAAGAAATTTATTCTCTCACAGTCTAGTAGGCTACAAATCCAAATTCAAGGCATCAACTCCAGGGGAAGGCTGTCTCAGTTCTGGAGGAAGGTCCTTGTGATGCATCAGTCTTCCCTTGGTCTGGGAGCATCCCAGTACAGGAACCTCAGGTCCAAAGGACGCGCTCTGCTCCCGGCACTGCTTTCTTGGTGGTATGAGGTTCCCATGTGTCTCTGCTCGCTTCTGTCTTTTATATCTCAAAAGAGATTGGCTTAAGACACTATTCAATCTTGTATACCTCATCAGTATAAACCTGAAACCAAACCCGTTGCCGTTGAGTTGATTCTGACTCATATCGACCCTGCAGGACAGAGTAGGACTGCCCCATAGAGTTTCCAAGGAGCGCCTGGTGGATTCGAACTGCCCACCTTTTTGGTTAGCAGCTGTAGCACTTAACGACTATACCACCAGCGTTTCCCTCCTCAATATAACTGCCACTAATCCATCTTATTACATCACAGTGATAGAGTTTACAACACATAAGGAAATCACATCAGATTACAAAATGGTACACGATCATACAATACTGGGAATCATGACCCAGCCAAATTGGTACACACATTTTTCAGGGGACATAATTCTATCCATGACAAGAGGTGAATGTGGACATAGAAGTTTCAAGCCACTGTGTCGCTGTATGGTGTTGGGCTCATTACTTATTGAAGCTCAAGAAATAGGGAACATCTCACAGGGCTGGTGTGTGAATTCAATGAGATGAAATATCTGCTCTCTGAGAGTAGAGACTGATTTATACTCCACTGAATCCACAGTGCCTACCATGGAACACAGAGAAGAAGATCCATAAATACGTGTTGGTTGAGTGAATACTGTATCTGAAAACACTTAGTAAGCTCTGAGGACATGTTTTCAGGAAGGACCAGTCCTCAGAGAAGGACATCATGCTTGGTAAAGTAGATGGTCAGCGAAAAAGAGGAAGACCCTCAACGAGATAAACTGACACAGTGGCTGCAACAATGAGCTCGAGCATAAGGATTGTGAGGATGGCGCAGAACCAGGCAGTGTTTTGTTCTGTTGTACGTAGCGTTGCTATGAGTTGGAACCAACTCGACGGCACCTAACAACAAGCACATCAACAATATATGACATGAATAGCTGTGTCCATTATTCCCAAAAGGAAGAGAGCTGATTTCTATTCTTCCCCTCAAAGTTTTGTCTTGGTCTTGCCTTCTCTTTCTTTCCTTGAATATTGACACTAAATCTAACTGCTTTTATGTTGGCCAATTTGGCTGCTTTTAATGCTTGATTTCCCGAAATCAGAAAAGTCATCCTTAAGTGGAGGGTGCGAGGGTCTATAAGACAGAAAAAAGGAGGTCATCCCTTCTTCCTTTTGTCCTTAAGGCATAAATCCACATTCAATAGCTCCAAAAATGATGCTGAGGTGGTACTCCTGTGTTATTCAGAGATAGTGCTGTTGAGCATGGAGTAAATGCTTCCTAGAGAGTCTAATTAAGAAGTAAATTCAGGGCAAGGCAAGGGCACAGATGTGGAGAAATGATAATTCTTTAAGGGCAGAAATCCCTGAACAGCTGGGGGGCTGTTACAGCCCACGAGTACTCCCCTAATTCCCCCCTCCATGACATACCACCCACTGTCATTGAGTTCATGCCGACTCATAGCGACCCCATAGGGTTTCCAAGGCTGTAAATTTGTAAGGAAGTGGACTGCCACATCTTTCTCCCGTGGAGCTGCTGGTGGTTTCCGACCTTTTGGGTTGCAGTCAAATGCTTTAACTTCATGACATAGGGACCCCTATCCCGGATACAGACAGGAATTAGTAGAGGGATGAAGGATATTGACACAGTTCTGCCCTAGGGAGTGATCCCAGATGCTTCTGGGTCTATGAGGTCCGTGTGTCATGATCAACAAGAAACAAAATGAAAGAGAAATTTGAGGGGTTGTGATGTTCTTCAGAATATATGCGTTTTAGCCTGGGATCACAAGGCCCGGTCTAAGGCGCAAGACAGGATATTTAGGCAGAAAGAAACGTCCTTCAGCAGCTTCAGCTTGAAGAGAGTGTGGGGAAGGCCTCCCCGCCTTCTACAGCAAGAGAAAGGAGCGGAGATTACTAAAGGGTTTGACCGGACCGAGAACAGCTCCATCCCCTGATCCATGCTGCCCCCTAGAGGTCTGTCTGAGTATCGCGGCTCCATTTCACGCTAATCCCATCCTGAGCGGGTACCTCTGGATAAGATTCCTGTGGACACCCGGTGGGGGGGGAGGGGCGGGGGAGGTTAAATGTCCCCGAAAACTGCGTGCTCCAATATAACTTAAATGCTGCTCGCTGAGTTCCAGAATCACGAGTCTCTGGAGCTGACCCTTAGCCCCACCACTCACATTCTGGTGCTGCCCCTCAGTGAGATCTGCAAAAACCTGCGCTTGTTGGTCAAGTCTGAATACTTGGGCTCAGAGGTGAACTGAAGGGTCAAAGCTGTGAAGAACCAAGCTGCCAGGCTGTCTAGCCGTCCTGGCGCTGGCTTTCGATGAACTCGCCTCTCTTAGTAGTCTCCCCCGTGGGGTATCCCGGAAACCTCTCTCTGCAAATCGCCCTCTTTTTGTCAATGCAGGCTACGCCTCTCCTGCCACGTTGAGGCTGAAGTGAGGACAAATGTGAGAACATCTCTTGGGTTCCCCCCCAAGACCGAAACGTGGGAATGGCGGGGGTAGGGACGAGGAAAGAGAAGTCGGAAAGGAGGAGGTTGGGACGGAGGATTCCGGGGGCAGGTGCCTGGGTGAGCTTGCGGCCCGTCAAGTCTAGCACCGGGCAGACCTCAGTAACTGTCCAGGGTTGAGAGAGTCAGCCGACATCAACCTGGAAGGACACAGAACCTTCGCAGGGATGAGACGAAAGGAATTGGTGGGGCGGGGTCGCTTAAGGACACAGTTCTGGCTCCGCCCCTGGGGCACTTGAACCAATCAGGAGCAGCCCTCACGCCCCAGCACATACATATATATATATACACACACACACACACATATACATATATATCCCTCCCACGCTTTTAGCAGCGAAGATTGCGCTAAAAGAAGCGAGGCCGCTTTCCGTAGTCAATCAGAGCGCTGTTCTGGCCGTGGGGCGGAACCGCAAAAAGGGCGGGAGCGGGAGAAGCCGGCTCTTGTCGGCCTTAAGGTGGCCCCTCACCGCAGCAGCCAATCGGGAGCGCGTCGTTCGAGATCAAGTTTGCTCGGCCTTGAAACGCAACGCCCTTGCGCCCCACAGTCAGACCTAGCGCTCTGACCACACTGTGCCCCTGAAAGGCCCTTCCCTTCCTGATTCCGCGGGCTAGGCCCGTATCCAGAGAGCCTAAGCAGCGAGTAGAAACTGCTTACCCTCCACTATCCACTTCGGGGTTGGGGAAGGGAATGATTAGGCCTTGAGGACGGAGGAGACAGGAAACATCCCCAAATTACCATTTTCTCCTGACAACCCGCGCCTTCCCCCTTAGGACTTAAAGGCGCTCCCATGTCTCTCCAGTCTAGAGTCTGGGTTCAAACGAGATGTGTAGGCGGTGACTTCAAGCCGGCTCCAAATCAAACACTGAAGTGGATATGGGTAAGTTGCTAACCTGGCCCCCCCTTTCCCGGAACGGTGTGGGTGCTGCAGCCTTCCAGCAAGGGGCTATGACAGCCACAACCAGGGAAGCCAAGGAGCTGAAGAGAGGAAGCAATCTCTGAATCAGCTTGAGGGGCTGGGTATGCCTGCGACTGTACGGTCCCCGGCCCTTGCTGCATCTGCCGTTTTAACCAGAGGGTGACCTTCCTCCACCAGGTTGGTTATTTGTGAAGCTGTCCCCTCCCTAAAAATCCACACAGCACCTCTTTGGCTTGAAGTAGCTAAAGGTTAGAGATTACTGTCCCTGCCCATTAGTTATGGACACCCACTAAAACAGGTACAAGCAAACTCAGGAGGCAAAGAAAGGTGACCTTGGAGCAGAGATGGGACCAGCTGAAGGTCCCTAAGGAAGAAGAAAGGAAATGAGGGAACAGTGCAAAGTTATGTTGTTGTTAGGTGCCTTGGAGTCAGGTCCAACTCACAGTGACCCCTTTGTATAACAGAACAAAATGTTGCACAGTCCTGTGCCATCCTCACAATCACTGCTGTTTGAGTCCGTTGTTGTAGCCACTGTGTTGATCCATCTCGCTGAGGGTCTTCCTCTTTTTCACTGACCCTCTATTTTACCAAGCATGATGTTTTTCATGTTATATTAAATATTTATTGTTTACTACAGGGTGACCTTAGAGTAACTCTCAGGCCAGGAGGGGGTGGATTAGTGTTCAAGTTGCTGAGATCTGAGGTCAAAAAGCCAAAGAAATCATTTTGAGTGGAAAAAATAACAACCTGGAGGCAGTCTCCCCTTGCCACCAATTCCAGGAGCTGGGGTACCTCAGGACATAGTGACAAGAGTTGAGTGAACCAGAGACTGAGGCAGTAAAAGATATACTGGGGGGAAGAAACCGTTGTGGCAGGGGCGGGGGGGGGAATCCGTGCATGTGTATGGACAAAATTGAGAAAATGATAAAGGTAATTTTGGAAGCCCAGGGGGAAGTGGTCCTGGGAAACCTGAAGACATGGGGAGATTCAGAAAGCCAAGGGAATCTGGCTTATCCTGATGGGAATGAAGGCAGAATGAGGCATGTCAAGGGCCTGGGAGGCAAGAGGAGAACTGGAAGGGAGACCCAGGTAAAGAAGGATATGGGATGGGGTGCAGAAGTCCATGGAGAGGGTTGGCAGATCCCAGGGTTCGGCACATCAGAAGTTAGGCTTGTGCTTCTTGAGCTCCACCATAAGGTGGTGAATATTGATGAGCTCAGCCCGGGCAGGGAGGGCTCGGAGCTGCGGCTGGGACAGTACCCGGTGGAATCGATGATAGAGCTGGATCAGCTGGGTCAGCGCTCCCTGGTCAGAGAAAATCATGGAGGGATCAGACTGTAGTGTAGTGTTAATGATGACTGTCAGGAATCAGAGGTTAGGGCTCATCCAGAACTTTGGCCAGAACTGGTAGATGAAGATCAAGGGTCGCTTGGGTGATGCTGAACCCAAGGGAAAGAAAGGGAAAAAAAATCAATGTTGAGGAGGTAGGAGTGGGGATTGGGAGTTGCAGGTCACCTGAATGATACTGGTTCCATTTCTGAAATTGGTAAAACTCCTCATTACGTCCTGACTCAGAGACTCCACTGATGTCTTCCACGAACTACCAAAGCCACGGATCAGCTGAGTTACCCGTGCTAATAACAGGAGGAAAGAGAGAGAGCATTAGAGAGCGACTAGGCTGTGTGATCTCTGACCCTAGTTAAGTCCTCCCTAACACACAGCCATCCTTACCACCTAACCCCTTTTCTGCCCAACCCATTCTTACTTGCTCTCCCCATGTAATCTGCATCCTACCACTTTTGTCTTAAACTCACTTTACAGCTGCCCCAACCACTACCACACCATCCTCATACCTTCTTCTCCTCGAAGTCGTTCAGCCTGTCCACGCTCAATCAAAGCCTCAGCTTCCTTCACAAATGCCATCAGACCCCCAAAAGGGGGAGACAGCAACTCTTCAATGAACTCCTGGGGAAACACATAAACACAGGATCAGATGTCCCAATTCTGGCATCATGGCTGACAAGATGCTTAGAAGTACATTTCCCATAGCAGAACAGCTAAACTCTGGAAAGGACACACATTTTAAGACATCACTGGTCTCACAAAAGGTAGGGGAAATCTCCAAGGATACCCCTCCTAAAAAAAAAATAAAAAAGATACCAAGTAAGACACTAAACTGAAGCTAGGGTCAGAGAAACAAGGAAATGGGAGTCAAGGCTGGAGCCAGAGGGCTAGGCAGCTGGGAGAAAGGCAGGGCTGCCAAAAGACAAATGGCTATGACAACTCTGCTATCTGGAAACTGCCTGATGACAGTCTGGAGTGGGGAAGCTGAGCCTTGGGTCTCTTGTGAAACCCTCAAGAGGCATCCATGTAGACCCAGGTGGGTGGCATCTTTTGGCTATTGTAGAAGTAGGAGGCTTCCTTTCCTCTGGAGGACAATATTCTCAAAACCAGTTTAGACCTATAGGACTCCCCATGATCAAGCAATGAACTCAAAGATCACCAGACACATAAAAATGCAAACTACCACAAGAATCAGCAGAAACAATAATCAATGGATTTAGACCTCCCAGGACTGCCAATATTAAAATTGTCAGATACGTAGTTGTATATTCTGTAGGAAATGTTTTAAAAAGATAAGGATGCAAACACAAAGATGACCAATTAACAAGAACTATTAGGAATGGACAGAAACCCTGGTGGCGTAGTGGTTAAGTGCTACAGCTGCTAATGTCGGCAGTTCGAATCCACCAGACGCTCCTTGGAAACTCTATGGGGCAGTTCTACTCTGTCCTATAGGGTCGCTATGAGTAGGAATCGACTAGACGGCAATGGGTTTTTTTAAATTTGGAATGCAAGACTTGAAAAGTAGAATTTTTTAGAAATGAAAAAACATAATTGTTGAAATTTTTCCAAAAGTCAGCAGGTTAAACAGCAGATAAGAAATACCTGAAGAATGACAGAGTGAACTGGAATTTATAATTGAAGGAATAACTCGGAATGCAGCACAGATAAAGAGACTGGAAAACTTGAGACATTAAGAGACATAGAAATCTTAACTGATGGATCTAAGTAGTAATCATTGATGGCTAATGACACCGCAAAAAGAAAGCCAAGAAGACATCATGTGCCTCCTGATGGAAGTACACAGCACTACCTCTCAAATGTTATTTAAAAAAATATATATGTATAAAATTGGAATCTGATCAAGCCTTTCCATTCAACTACACAAGTAGTTGTTTGTGGGAAATATGCAAGACAGAGGAACAGTTTACCCACACTATAGAATGCAATCAGCAAGATCCAGATTGTACATCATTCTTCAGGACAAATGACTCAGTTTCTTTCACAAATAAATTGCGGGGGTGGGCAGGGAGGGAGGCAAAGATGGAAGGAGAACCTATAGATTAAAAAGAGACATATGTATGAACTTTATATGGATCCTGCTTTGAGCTGTAAAAATAATTTATGAGATTAACTGGAGAAATGTGAATACTAGCTATTTGATATTAAAGAATTATTAATTTTTACAGGTGTGACAATAGTATTGTGGCTATGCTTTTAAACCAAATCCTGATACAGATGAACTGATAATGATGTGTAGGATTTAATTCAAAATAATTGGAGTAGGAGGGAAATAATGTTGGTACAGATGAAATCAAACTGTCTGTGAATTGCTATTGGTTGCAGTTTTGTGATGAGTACCAAGGGGTTCATTAAGTTATTCTCTCTATTAAAGTGTACATTTAAATTTTTGCACAATAAAAAGTTAAATTTTTTTTAAGTGCTAAAATGATAATATTTTAGATATATTGTTGTTAGGTGCTGTTGAGTCAATTTTGACTCGTAGTGACCCCATGAGACATAGTAGAACTGCTTCATAGGGATTTCTAGGCTGTAATCTTCATGGAAGCAGATCACCAGGTCTTTCTCCCAAGGAAATGTAGGCGGGTTTGAACCACCAACCTTTTAGTTAGCAGCCAAGCACTTAACCGTTTGTTGGACCAGGGTGCTCCTTTAAAACCTGCAACCCCACCGAAAAAAAACCCATTGCCATCAAGTCAATTCTGACTCATAGTGACCCTACAGGACAGAGCAGAACTGCCCCATAGGGTTTCCAAGGAGTGGCTGATAGATTAAAACTGCCAATCTTGTGGTAAGCAGCCAAGCTCTTAACCACTGCACCACCAGGGCTCTGGCACTCCTTTAATGGGTTAAAAATATATTATTAAATTAGTTTCACTTGTTTCTTTTTTACTTTTTAATGTAGCTACTAGAAAATTTAAAATCACCTAATATTTCTATCGGACAGTGCTGGTGTAGACTTGGATAAACTTTCTTTAAGCTTTCTATCTGGCAAAAATATGTATGAAAACTTTTATAGCAGGAGTGACCAGAGGGAAACAGTGAACTAGGCTTTGGCTAGCAATCTTTCCCACACAATATCAAGCAGCAGCCAATCAAAACGGACAGGCAACATTGATGAAAGCTGGCTCCCCACACCTGGCGAATCCCATGGCACTTCAGGTAACCCACTGGTTAAGGGCATCTTCGTGGGATTAGGGGGTCTGGAATATTGCACTTCTGAAAGCAGAGCTGACATTCTCTCTGGTCACCTAACTGTCCAGATGAGTACAACTGTTTCCTTTATCATCTAATCACATGCTTATTTCACTAAAAAGACAGAATAGAATGGGAAAGTCTAATGTGTAACTAATCAGATTCCAGAAGAAGAAAATAAGAAAAAAATGGAGGAGACGCAATATTTAAAGAGATACTGGTTATGAATTTTCCAGAACTAAGGAAAAACATAAATCCAAAGATCCAAGAAACACAACAGATACCAAGCAAGATAAAGATAAATTCACATCTAGACACATTATGGTAAAACTGTAGAGCACCAAAAAAGAGAAGATCTCTAAAAGCAGCCAGAGAACACAGACTCCCTTCCAAGTAAGTAGAACAACACTTTAAGCCAGATGAAAGTGGAAAAGCATCTAAATGTTGAGAGAAAGTAACTGTTAACCTAGAATTTGATGGTAAACCAGCAAAACTATTGTTCCTTGACAAAGATGAGAAAAAGACACATATATAAAAACAAAAGCAGACTTTCCTATCAACAGACTTTCACCACAGGAACTTCTAAAAGATTTATTTCAGGAAGAAGAAAATCTCCAAAAGATAGAATCTGAGTTTTAAGAAGGAATGGTAAACAAATAAAATGATAAACATGCACAAAGATCCAAATAAGCACTATCACTATAAAATAACAACAATTAAAAATAGGACAGAAGTAAAATATTGTTCAATAATTAGCATGGAAGGCAGGAGGGGGATGACTAGAGTTAAAGTATTTTAAAAGTCTATGTGTTGTTTGGGAGTGGATTAATGATTAAGT